GAATGTATGCAACTTTTGATGAACTGGTACAACTCTTCTGCAGTATCGAAAGTTTCTACTCCCAGTTTCTCATCCAGCCGCTTCCTGTAGAGCGCTTTCACGCTTTCATGCTGTAAGCTATCGATGTTGTAGTGCACTTGTTCGATCTTCGTTCCTTGTGGCTGGCACTTCTGATGTTGCAAGGTATTCCTCTGCAGCCCATACTTAACCGGAAATGCAATCTCCGCCTTGAGAAAATGGTGATCACTACCACAGGAGAACCCCCGGCAAACTCTTACTTGTTGAACCTTCATGGTACTCGTTTGCCTGGTGACCGCGTAGTCGATGATTGACTTCAGCCCCCGAGTTTGCTGAACCCACGTGTACTTATGGATATCTCGATGTTGGTAGAATCCGTTCAGTATTTTCAACTCGTTTTGTTCACACATATCAATAATGCGTGCACCGTTGTCATTCATCGCCTCTTCACCGAAAGGTCCAACAACTTTAGAACCATTCCTTCGTCCGGTTCTACCATTCAAATCTCCCATGATAATGACCTCCCTTGTCCTTCCAACCCTCAGAACCTCGTCGTTGAGTTGCTCAAAGAACTGATCCTTTAGATTGACGGGAGCATCATCATTCACACCATATACTCCTAACAGGGCCACCTTGTGACCATGCAGTGTAAGATGCATTCTGATGATCCGCTGGTCTACTGCTTCCCAAGTAGTTATAGACGGACGCAAACTTTTCCGGATAAGTATGGCGACTCCTTGCTGTGCGCGTTGATCTTTACTGACACCACTATAGAACAGATCATAACATCCTAAGTTTTCTGATCCTGTGCCTTTCTTTTTCGTTTCTGTTAACACGGCGACATCTACATTATACTTTTTTACCTCCGATACAACCTCTGTCAATTTATTAGAAATGCCCTGTACATTCCATGTCCCAAAAACCATTGTCCTTTTCCGTAGTTTGTGTCGCAAAATCCGTTTTTTTCCATTATCACCGAGGCTATCTTTATTAGGCTTTTTAACATTAAGTTTTTTCCGGGTATCGGGGAGTTAGCCCGATGCCCCAACCCCCAACCTGGAGGACCAGGGTTTGATTTTGGAGTACCGTCTCCTAGACAGGCTGCTTTCACCACAGCTATGAGCCCTGTCTGCCCCTCTGATGAGTGGTTCATACGCCATGAAGCCGGTGACCATCTTCACCCCCCTTTAAGGCAGGGGCTACCAGCTGGGGTCCGCAGGCTTGCTAAACCTGTGACAGTACTGAGTACAGTCCCCCATACGGAATCGTAATTATTTTCGTAATTATTTTTGTCAAAACGGAAGCTCATCAATGGTGGACTCGTTCAGCGTCTCGCGGTTCAATAGGGTCCTTCGTTGTCAGATCAGTCGCAATTAGATTGACATCCAAAACGGCTTTGTTGCGAACTTAAGCTAAGCTGAAAAGGGATTTGTCCTTGCAGAAAATGGTTAAAAAAAAAAACTACGATGAGAGCATCGTAAAGGTTATAGAATCACTGTAAATTCACTATCTACGTTTACACGCAATTTGCGCATTTTCTTATGTTTTTCTCTAAAAAAATTAGCTAATAAAGTATAGCACGACAAAAACCTACTTTGATTACATCGAATTTTGTTTTACCCCGGTCTCACAACTCCATTCAAAACTCAAAATGGCCACCGTCATATGACACTGTCTCTCAAATTAAGACTCGCCATAAAATTACATACTTCTTAAAAACTATTATAAACTATCGCTTTATAGTACTAGATTATTTAACTTGGAAAGCCGCAACGTGAAGATTTTGGATAAATAACGCTTATTTATTTGCTTGTTTTCACGTGAAAAACGCGACATAGTATGACGGTTATTTTCCGATTCGCATGGAGTCATGAAACGGAGTTACTTAAAAAAAAAGAATGCGTGGGAGACCTATCGGGCGTGGATAAATTTTTACAAAAATCTTTCAATTTAAATCTGAAAAAAAAAAAAAAAAAAAATCCAGAATGCCTTTAGGACGTCCTGCAGTATTTTTCTCATCGCATTCCCTTTAAATAAAGCCAAAAGTCCCCTTGTCCAAACGGGATTCTTATTGAGACAATGCGTCGCTCCTTTAGAGTAAGGGCGTATCTCAATTTCTATATATGAGCCCTGTTTTGCGTATAAACCCATACTTTCTGGGGCTCATGCGAAAATCGAGATACACCCTTACATCAGAGGAACAACAACTTGGAATGCCGGTAAGTAATCCGATAGGTGGACTATTAACACGTTATCCTGAGGAAATTTAGAGAAATTTGCCTCTGTGCCGGGCAAGACGAAACTAAGTGCAAACAGAAGTTTTTGATATCACACCTTATCGAGTAAGAAGAAATTATGATATTTTCCGATAAATTTGACATCGAGGTACATAGGCCCATGGAAAAGGAATCAAAAATGAAACCGCGTAAACTCATCTGCTGCGTGGTGGCGTTGCGTCCGTTGCGTGGCGCGTTTCATTCGGCGACTGATGGGAAGACAATGAAGTTACGACAACTTACTGCCAGTGTCCCGGGATGCTTGAAATTGAGAGTGAGACAGATGACGAATGACACTTTTATGGTGGATAACAGTTCTGCCATCAACACCCGGGAGCCGCTTCCCCTCGCCCCAGTCTGCGCATCGCAGCCTCAGACCTAGACACAATTAACATTTAAATCCAATTCATTTAAAAAATTGTTTCACTATGAAAACGTCTTCTGATGGCTCTATGCTATGTATCTCAGGTCGGGCTTTTGTCTAAATGCTGATGGACCTTTTTCGTGTGATTCTGGTTTTATTCAGAGTGGGTTGAGATCTCTTCCATCAGTGGTTAGGGTAGCCAGTAGATGGCATGGTAGTCCGAGTCTGTCAACTGCACCACTGATTGTGTAGTCAGAGATCTTACAAACAACCATTTCTACATTACCAGATTTTGTTGTATTGGAAACTTGCTTTCTCAAAAAGATGAATCGAAAGTAGGTCTAAAACTGCACCGTTTAATATAGAAAGGAATTATTTCACCCAAATATGTCAGGCCGGATATATTCATGAAAAATGGGGGAAAATGTAAATTATCGTAGCATAAGGCTAATTTTTACGACGCTATGTGGAAAACGTTGACACATTGTACATACAGAGCTTTTTTCTCCATCAATAAAGTTGAGAAAAATTCAGTTGCTTTAGCAAGACTAATTCGAAACTTTATAGCTTTACAACATTCAGATCAAGAGCAAAAAAGTTCACGAACGCTTACTGAAAAATTTGTTTCATCTTTCCTTAAATATTCTGGTAAAATTAATGAATGGACTTCGAACAGATCCTAATCAGACTCCCTTGATTGGGCCCTCCAAAAAAGCCCGATCGGTGTATAGTCAATACCGCATCCTATCTATTATTACTAGAGCACATACCGCAGCAAATAAGCTTCATGGCATATTGATTAAAACAAAAAAATCATATTGCTCTCTTTGAGGAAAACGACTGCAAAATAAAAACGTGCGAGGCACGTTTTATTTTCCATTCATCAAAAGGCGAACGACAACAAACGTGAAAGACGGAGTAATAAGTGGGGAAATAAATGAGATTCTCGTTAAAAGCAATTAAGGCCGTTGCGAAGTTGCAAGGTGCAGCACCAATCATCGACGCCGCGCCGCACCGCGTAAAAATACGCCGTGTTTTACTTTCTTATTTCCTGGCGTTCGGTTCGAGATCATCTCGTGAACCCCATCAACGCAATTAGTCGCGAAGAGCACTTATATTCTGTTGATTTTTCCTCTCTATCATATTTCTGCCATTTCTTTGACGTTCCATGATTTTCTCTGCTGCATTTTTCCGGCAGCGGCACACAGTACTCGACGTTCTCTGTTATGCGGATAATATTGCTCTCAACTGTCCTTTTCATTTTGTCATGGAATGATTTCTTCATCTGCAAATCTTCAATTTTCTTCAGCATGACAACTAAATGTGCACTAAAATTGACAAATTATCCCTACATTTGCATTCGTACATAATTCATCGTTTTCCGCAGAAATGAACTTAACTCCATTCCAAGGTTGCAAAATTGACTCAAATTCAATTTTTTACAAGACTAAACCCGCATGATTTGTCGTCATAAATTTGTGTGATTTTTGGGTGAGATCAAAGGAAAAATTTCGATTTTTTGAAAGGAGAAATTTTGATTCCGATATTCTCAAAATTCTCCTGATAAAATGCGCCTTGTGCGGATAAATCTGGCAACATTGAAATATAGTTACGTTCTTTCGTGAGAAAAACGACGAACTATGGACTCGCTGCATTCCATTAAAATAACTTCAAATGCAGGAAGTTCCGTCCCAATATTGTACATGGAGCTTCAAATTAATTACGACGATTTTAGACAACTGTGCTCATTTAACACCGATAAAACGATATTTTGGAGGGAAAAATTCGAAAAAAAGATTTTGTTTGACATATTTAAAACTCAGATGCACCTTATGCGCACCTTGGATAGAAATCCAGAAAGATGCGCTTTAAGATTTGAGCCAATTTGAAAGGTCTTTGCATTAATTTATCGGTGATCTACCGAGAGGTTGCGCAAGTTCGTCCATCAGCGCAGCGAAAGATTCCATCTTGCAGGGATGTTCATGAAGCCATTAGTGAAAGCGGTCATAATGCAGATCACTTTTTTCGATCTTTGCACCGCGAGGCGTCAATATTGTAAAGTTGTTCACAACATGACCCCTCCTTCACAATTAGCACAAATTCGCTGGGAGGCACCTATCTGAAAATCGGGAAATATGAAATTGCACACTGAAAAAATGAGCTAGTGCCTTAGGCATACCGCGCCGCGGTGTTTAAAATCGTCTTGGTTCTTACATGTGATTTATCTGATCAACCACATATCACTCAGGCCTAATGTCCCTTAGTCCATGAAATTGTACTTGTTTGGATAATTGTATTTATTTTTTAGTATGAAATTATAATAATTTTGTGTGGTTTTACAGGTCGGGTTGGGGCTACTTCTAGTAGCAGCCAACTGTGTACCAGTGCCAACACCGGCAGCTGCACCTACAGGGGCACCAACAGAGGCAGTAAAACGTGATAAGAAATCGTAAGTAAATAAATGTACCAGATATTCCAAGATAAAGATATGTATTTTCAACAAACATTAATGTTTACATGAGGTCAGGTTCGATAACAAAGGAAAACAATCTATAAATTTATGTTTTATTTTATTCATTCTTCATTATCTGAAAGATCTGTACTTTTGAAGGATGCCTGTCATTCTTAATACGCTCATACGCTCAATTTCGTATAATACTGTGCAACACCTCTGTTGTGAAATAGTTGCTTTAAGCGTAGCAGCACGGCGCGGCGGGCGGGCGGCCAGCGCAAAACGCGCATTGGCGCCTACAAACCTAAGTGGATACTTCAAGCATTGTGCAATGCGTGAAGTATCCACTTAGGTTTGTAGGCGTCAGTGAGCCTCTTGGGCTGGCAGCACGCCGCTCCGCTCTGCTAGGCTTTAATATTTATACTCGCATAGTCAGCGTTTTTTAACTCATGATTTTGAAATGTTTGCACACTCTGTATTGATTATTCTTATTTAAATCGATGGGTAAAAATATGTATCACTATATCAAAGGAGAACCGCGGCTCATTGAGATTAATGTCGCTTTGAAAAGGTTTTACAAATATTTGTCATTTTTTAAAAATATAAATGTTTTCAAAATGAAGTAATAATTTCGTAAAGAAAAAAGAAAAAAGATAAAAGAAGTACCCATATACATATACATATAAGGTATATTATACATTCAATGTTTTAAAGATAGAAGTAAAACCAAACATTCACCAATGACAATTTAAAAAGATGATTCAAAAGGAGAAAGTAATAACATTTCACTAAGAAAATGAGCAACCATAACAACACCTCTTTCTCTCTCAATTTTTCATTTCCATATTGTCAATATAATTTTACATATACCGACTAAAATATGTTGCTTATTTTACGTGTGGGCGTACACTACTGGACAAAAAAGGTAAGCGGACAAAAAATCGTTGACAAAATGTCCTGAAACCCCCATGTAAGCTATCGTTAAGAATCGATTTTTAAGGTGTTCGTTGCGAACACCTTGTTTATCGATCCTTTACTGTAGGTTTAAATGACATATCAATCGATATGTCACAATGCGCGCCACGCCACTAATTTAGGAATCATCATGCTTGAGCCAAGCACTTATTTCTTGTGAATATATTTTTCGCCTTGATCTCGATCCCATAAAAGTTGTTCATATCAAAAAACGAGTGATGGTTAGGACCATTTGTGAATAGAAGGGAATAAACTAAATTGGCAAGGAAAAATCTCGCTCGTCTCTTGATCTAGAATCGGATGCACAATTATTCACGACCAATTCAAATTTTTGGACGTTCAGCATGAATCTCTCTGGGTGACAGAACTGGGGCTCCTAAACATTGCCCAGTTCTTGCAAAAAATAGTTAGTGAACATCCCACATATTTTTGAACGTCGAGCAGTGATCTACTTCTCGAACTTTTCGGTGATGGCTAATGAGTTTAAACGACCTTCAAATTGTGTGCGAAAGGCACTTGATTGAACTGCTAATTTAGTGAGTTCCGTTCATCTCAGTTTACAAGGCTGTGCTACTAAAGGAGTGGAGGAGTTGTTTGCGCAACCGTCTGGAATGAAATTTTTTCTATTAAAGCTGTATGGCAAATTTTGAAACAAGTTGTGTGGGATTTAAAATGAAAGTGATGAAAGAACAATAAACCTTGAATAATCTACCTTGATTTCAAAGGAATCGTTCTTCTTTAAACTATTTTGATCCTCTAATACTCTAATTACAAGAACAGGGTATTCGCAAAGAACATCTTTATCATCATGGTACATGTGTTTTCTCTCTTTTCAACTTTGACAAAGTTGGAGCAGTTAGAAACTTACAAAAAATAGAAAAATTAACATTGAGTCTCTAATGATTTCGCATGGCTACATCTTAAAAAAACGATTTCTGAGCAAAAATATAATTCCGTGATTGCGCGGGTGAAAGTTGAGGGGCCTGGAGGACAAGGCGCATAAGTGCAATTTGTGAAAAAACTAAGAGATTAATGCTTTCAAGCAAAACTAGTCTTAACGCATATTCTGTGAAAAATTCGCTCCCTAATTAAAATTTTTAAGCATCAAAGAGTCAATTAGAACTTTCAATCTGCTATGAGGATCCATGTAATTTCAACACTTCAAACACGTACTTCTCGAAATGGCAAAAACCGGACTTATGTGCCTCGTCCTTCAAAACCCTTAGTTCACATTTTGGTGTTTTCATTCCAGATTCATTTCTAGATTCAGGATATTTAGATAGACAACGCATATTCTAAAATGTTTATCACTTAAATTTGTTTCAGGATCGAAGATTACGGTCCTATTTCTGGTGGTTGGGAAGAAAAAACCGGATGGGCCCCAGAGCCAGAGATCGAGCATCACCCTGTGCATCATCATGAACCTGAACCAGAGGGTGTCTGGAAGAAGAAGTTAGTCTGGAAAGAAGAATGGAAACAAGTCTGGCGAACGGAGAAACAACAGATTTGGAAGACAGCTTGGAAGAAGATCCAAGTCCCAATCTGGAAAGAAATTAAAATCCCCATCTGGAAGGAAATCCAAGTTCCCGACTGGAAAGTAGTTCAAAAACCAATCTGGAAAGAAATTCAAGTGCCAATCTGGAAGGAACACCAAGTGCCCGACTGGAAAAAGATCTGGAAGCCAGTGTGGAAGGAGATTCAGGTCCCTGTCTGGAAAGAGCACCAAGTCCCCGACTGGAAGCAAATCTGGGTTCCTGAATGGGTGAAACAATGGGTTCCTGGAGAGAAATCCCACGGTAAAGATGAGCACGGGTGGGAATACACATCGCACGGACTTTGGAAGAAGAAGTTGATCTGGAAGCCTGAATGGAAGAAAATCTGGAAGACCGAGAAGAAACTCATCTGGGTGCCAGAGAAGAAATTGGAATGGAAAGAAGAATGGAAGCAGATCTGGAGAACAGAGAAGAAGCAAGTGTGGGTAACTGAGAAGAAACTAGAATGGAAAGAAGAGAAAGTACAGATCTGGAGGCCAGAGAAGAAATTAGAATGGATCCATGATAAGAAACAGGTCTGGAAAGACGAGTGGAAAGAAATCAAGGTTCCCGCTTGGAAGGAAATTCAGGTTCCAGACTGGAAGAAGGTCTGGAAGCCAGTATGGGAAAAGGTGTGGGTTCCATTGCCCAAGCACCACGATCACCACATCGAAGAACACCATGATCACCATGGATGGGCGTGATCATCTTTTTAGACATGTGTTTATTTCCTACCTCTGAAAATTCCCAAGGGGATATTGCACATATCACTTTGAAAATCAAAACGCTTTATTTTGTCCGATGACTGCTGATCCTTTGAATTTTCCATCGGTCTTACCGTCACTGTAATTTTCTAGTCTTGTCAACAAGCGACTGCCTTTACCAGTGAATCATATTGGCTCATGCTACTCATTAGATTGCTAGGAATTGAGTTCATTTATTATCTCTTGAAAGCAATTTCACCAACATTTTGTCCCAGCTCGGCTGGAAAGTTGGTGATGTAATCTATCGAGATATTTAATCATAACACATACATTCTGGTTAAAATAATTGATATCGTGTGAGGACCTGATGGAAAATTCAAAGTTTTTCAGTGAAATAGTGCAGCTGTGATGACATGAGCTAGTAACATGCCACTGCCACAGTTTACCCTAATGTGCCAAACAAATCATCATTCCTAAGATGAAATGGAAACCGCATCAAATATGATGATGAGCCAACTTGATTGTATGAAGTAAATAATGTGGGATTATAGTCGACAGGGTATCACATCGATCCGGAAATTTTGTAAGGCATGCTTAAGTACAAATTGATTGAGACTCCGAATTTTCTGACTGCGTGTATTATAATGTGTACCTATACTAGTTTTAAGTCAGTCCGTTTAAAATACAGGAATGCTCTTGCGTGTTTTTGCCTGATGCGTCCTTATACTCAGTTTTAAACGAATTAAATCTGGAATCCAAAGGCAGTGTTCGTAATTAAGTAATAGGTAAGTGAAAGAGACTTTTATTTGGAGAGTTAGTGGATTCAAAATACTGAAAGGGAAAATCACGCAAAAGCTAGTTTTACTAAATACATTTTTTAGAAATCTCAGGTGCAAAAAAACTAAAAACATGCAGCACAAAACATGAAAGTTGTGAGAATTTCAACATCTGACTTAAATTGAAAAACATTTCCATCCAGCTAGTAAAAATATAATCTTGCAAAATTATTCTTTCACCTCGCTATAGAAATTTAATTTAATTCAGTAAATATTTTAACAAGGTGCTTTTATAATTCTAACGAAAGAACAATGTAAGTATCACTGCAAAAAATCTGACCGAGCTACCATTGCGACTTACGATGAAAATATTCATAAGTATTATTTTCCAGCCTGAAACTTCTCAACCGCGTCATGTTTGCGATGTTACACCTTGTAAGGTTTTCAACAATTTAGTTGCCTTTGAATCGAAATGTTGAGTTAAGAAAAAGGACGATCTCTCATTATAATTTTCTTCATTTAAAATTTGTCTGCATCAAAAATATTCAACAATAACCTTTCAAGAACATATTCTGAAATACATGAATCAAAATTTAATATTATTCATCATACATTTGATAGCATCCCCTATTGTGCATGGAACTGCATATAGTTTTCTATTCGTTTTGTAATTTTCGTATTGTCTCGATTTACTTCTTTCACTATTTTTATTACTCTATCTGTATGAAAAAAATACGTGCCAATGAATCTCTCGCAAGATTGACTTTAGATTATATTTAAGTTTAAGATGATACCAATGTGCTCTGAAATTACCTTTTTCAGATTCAAAAGCCCGTAAATTATTCTATATTTCAATTCTTTCATACCACAATTTGTGAGCAATATTTTCCTGGCTGCCATCAAGATACTGCCACAATATAACAAATCAATCATAATGTACTACAATTTTAACCGTCCTTTTAGTTATCCAGTACGCACGAATTTTCTGCATTTAAAATTTTTTCTCCGCTCAGCAAGCTATATGAGTGAAGTCTGTGCTATATAATAGTAAAACATTTCATTACTACATCCTAAATAGCTGCTAAAGATTGATAAGATCTACAGATTTGTGCTTGTCAATTGATAAGTTTTAAACCAACAGCAAAAGTTACCATTGAATGAAAAAATTACGAATGTTACAATAAGTATTTCCTTTTTTGTTGAATCATAGTTATAAGAATTGTATATATTGTATTAAAACATCTTTTTTACATGATTAATTGTTATTTCATTTACCTCCCAATATGGAAAAGTTAAAACCGTGGATCACACAACCTGAGGTTTTCTCGAGGTCTTCTTTCCGTCATTTTTTTTGAAAAAAATTGATAGAATAATCAAAACAATTTATCATATCGCATCTGAATATCCGTTCCAGAGAACAAAAAGAAAAATCTGTACTTGTAGCGAGCATTAGCATAAATTTCATTTAGGTCACATCCCATCTTGAATTTCTTCATCCTCGCTAGTCCTTTTCTCGTCATCGGCTCGAATACCATTTTAAATTCAGGCTCTACCACTGTGTAATTCATGACAAATACAAACTGACCAAAATTATCTTTGGGAACTATCAAATGATCGCATTTGCAACTACCTGTTTTTTTACAAGATTTAACAAGATAGCCCTGCTTGAGGAGAGGACGCAAAGTGCGGTACATAAACCGCCTGTAACCTTCATGCGTGGGAGGGATTCCAGGGCCATGGGTGAAAGCAAGTTTCAAATTTGTTTGAAGTCGGTAGTAAAATTCTCTAAATTTTTTTCCAAGGAGCAGATCAGGCAGTGGCTCTATTTTTGTCTCGTCATTTGAATAATCTGAAATGAATTTATGTCATGATATGGTGTGAGAAAATCACGCGTAGGTGGAGAAATGATTTGGACGTATTTATGCTAAAAGAAACTTAGCAAAAATAAATCAAATCAAAAGGAGCTGTGTGCTCATTGCTTGTGTGCTACATAAGTCCTTTTGATTTAATTCATTCACACATAATTTCTTTAACTTTAAAAACATCTAATTGGATGATCAGAAGTAGTTGTGACACTGTGAAATGACTCCGAAGGTCAATTTGCTATTAAATTAAGAACAAAAACTCAAAGAGCCATTTTAACCTTTTTATCTTCCAAAAGACCCGGCGCATTTTCAAAACTTCAAACCTCATTTTCTCAAAACTCAGTCAACATGATATTGTTCCTTTCTGATTAATGCAGTCCAAATTTGAAATTAACGACCGAAAATTTTACAATTTTGGGGAGAGATTTCATATTTCTTGTTGGTTTGTTCTTTGTTAACGATGGATTGATGAAAGCATTTAGAAATAAAAATAATTATAGATCTCTTTTCATCTAATTTTACGCTCACAATTTTCTGAGCAAAATGTTACGAATAAAACGTAATCGGAACATTTCCTTGGAACCCACTACGACCCATCTTGAAACGGCTAGCGCCTCTGGTGAGTAAAATGAACAATTATGCAACAATAAATACCGTTATAAAGGGCTCAGTTTGTCTTTTTTGAATATAGCATAGCTACATCAGTGCCGCAAAACATTACAATTATTAAGACTTTCTTTTCTACCTGTGAAAATTTTTTAGATAAGTCATTACCAACATTAGCTCTTTCCATAAAACTTAGCCCTAATTTGGCTTCAGACTTTAACTTTTTGGGATCATCAATCACTTTAGAATGTATTACAAACGCAGTATTTCCCGCTCCTATTTTGGGTATGAGAATGTATCTAAAATCACAATATTTGTCACCATGCTTGCCTCTCTTTGAATGCACGATAAAGTTATTAACCAACGGAGACACTTGGTTCGTCATGTAGATTTTGTAGCGCACAAGGGGGCTGAGTTCGTTGTGATTGTTCTTCATGTATTCCACTAGGTCTTCTTTTAAACTTTCTTCAGTATCCGATAAATGATGGCTGATTAAAGCTTCTCCGAAGTGCGTCAATGGAGATTTAACTGTGACAACGAAGAAAAAGTGTGTTAACATGTAGCTAAAAGTAACCCATCCTTGCGTGAAAATAATCTGCAAAACCAATTTTGGGAGGAATCAAATGTTTTACTTTTTCGCTCATGCCTTTTTGAGGGTATAACTCTGATATTTAAATGGATGTCAATCAAATTATTTAGGCAAACCAATGGTCTACAGTCTATTAAAATTATTAACATATAATTATTAAGTGCAGTTTTTCATTGTTACAGTTTTGAGTTGCCCACTTAGCTTTATTAACATAGCTAAATCAATTAAATTAGTAATGCGGCAAAATAAGGATATACGAGTACAATGTTTCTAAAAAACCTATAGAAACCAGTATTGAAACTGAAAGATAGCAAAAACATTGACACGCATAAGATATTGCAGCAGCCAAAATTGAAGGGGCTATCAAGAGGCTTGCGTTGGTCTGAGGAATTGAATTTTATCCTATTTCGTCAGCATTCTCTCGATGGATAAACTTGAGATCAACTTAGGTCGGTTTCTTTTACTTGTCCTATTCATGTAAGGCTTGTTTCGTTTCATTTGTTTTACTTGCCGATTGTCATTTTTGACTGATTGAGGCCCCAGCCCCGCCCTCCGGTCATTTTAGAAAAAATAAAGGACCATTCTGTCCAAGCCCAAAAACTCTTTCATTACGTTAAAATGAAGTCATCTGGTTCTGTGATAAGCTATAATTGCATCCAAAACAAACCGGCTTTTTCACCAAAAAAACTAGTTTTAAAATGACGGGTTTTGATTTCAACAAAACCTAGGTATTTATTATGATCTTCGCTGCGACTGAGTTGTGATTGATCCAAAAAACTAGAAAAATACGATAGACAAGAAAGATAAATGTTGAGGCAAATGACGTATCCCTCTTGTATCGTATTAATATAAACTTGCAGTACTATACACTAGTTATAACAAGCAGTGAACTCCAACACAATGTGTTGATAAGGCGCGTCATTAACTCGCACATATCAACCCCTTTAGTTTTCATTTACAGAGATTTCAAAATAGGCAAACAGCATAAAAAGAGAATTCACGATCCAACACTGCGAGGTCAAAGACGCACCTTGACGAGACCGTGTATTGTGAAAGTAGAAAGCTATTCGATCGAATTTAAGTTTTTTGATCTGCCTCAAGCAAAATCTTATCAGATTCTTGAAGAAAAGTGCTACGGAATAATTTAAGCGAAGAAAGGAAAAATTCTGTCGAACTCCTAGAAGATAAAGTCGATTTAAAGGTATTTTGGGGCTAAAATACCCAAATCACCGGTAGTAAAAATCCCGTTATATTATTGAAAAGAAATTGACTCGATATAAATGCAATTGCATTAAATACGTCTTGATTTTGTTATTTTAAACGTCTTTCCATGCAAAGAAGTTCAACCATGTCGTTGCTTTATTCATTCATGAATTGAAAGTAAGCAATCTACATCCCGAAAATCTACTGATTTGCCGTAAAAAATTGCAGAAACTTGATATACCAGGTCGATGCACCCACTCGTTGAATTTACCAACCAATTTTGTGAGTGCA